AAAAACACAGTCGGTAAAGACAGGCCGAAGCGGATGTCGGAGAGAAACAAAAATATCCGTCGTGATGAATAGCTCTGTGAAATGACGACGGCGGCTTATCGCAGTCGCTTTATTATTGTGTTTCGTAATAATCACCGACATCACGAGCCGCATGCAGATAATTATCACGCTTAATTTAACTTTACTGCTCTCCCTCGCCCTGGCAACGGCTGAGTATCATGCAGGCCACATGTGTGGATGCATCCCTCAAATGTTTACACTGACCCTCTGCTTTTCATTTCCTGAGATAAGCCCATTAATATTCCGGGAATTAGCCTGTTCCCCATTGATGTAGAGCATTCAAAAACAAGCTAAGCCTTTAAGAATGCCATCTGAAACGCATTTTGTGTGCTTTGTGTGAATGTGAGAGTTGTTTCGTTTTAGTTGTCCAAGTGCTAAGCGCTCTTGACCAAAAAGGGCAGCTAGGCCAACTAAAGACAGTGATTTACCACAGCCATAAACTGGCTACATGGCACATGCTACGAATCCACTTAAAAGTGCTGCCATAATTACAACAAAGAAGGTGAGTGGATTTGTGAGATGACTGACATCCAAATAGTCAAACTAAGCTTTCAAGTCTTTTGAGATGGATTCTATCTAGTCTAAAATAAGAAGCCTTATTAAAATAGCGCCGTTAAATCTGTGTGAGACTCATGAGGCATGTTCAGCTGTTGACATCGTTCTCCCACTCAGAACTCTCCCTTGTTTTCTCCCTCTCTGTTTCCATCCCCCATTTCCTCTCCCATCTTTTTTCCCTGATAAGTCCCCCCCCCCTATCTTTCTATCCCCTTTATGGTTTGGTTTTGCTTTGAGCTCCTGCTCCCTCCCTCTACTTGCTTTAGACCCGTTTGTTTGTGACGAGCGCTGGCTCCGTGTGGCGATACTTATCAGGCCGGTGTTTGTCATCTAACTTTGCCTCAATGGGTGACGGGAGGGGAGGGGGTAAGAGGTCCTGCTTGAAGCACTGTAAGCAGCGGCATAGATGAATGAAAGAAGAAGAAGTGTTTAAAGGGGACAGGGGAGGAGTGATAATTTGGGAATAAATGATGAAAGCAGAAAGATAAAATGCAGAGATGAATGACACGTGGCCTCCAGCCACTCCTAAAATTTCCCTGAGCTAAACTTGAACTTTCTGAGTTTTTTTTTTTTTTTTTTTATTTTTTTTTTTTTTTTTTAAAAAGGGATTTTATTTTAGCTTTTCATGAGTCTATGGAATTTGGAAGGAGCTGTGGTCATTTTTCCCCTCATACTGACAGGGTGGCTTACTCACTTCTCCCTCTTTCCAGTGAGAGATGTCAGCTCAGAGAGAAACGCCTGACGCCTGAGTCTCCAACATTCACGTGTAGATCCCACCTCCACTGCTGGTCTGACAGTTGGATTTGCTTTCTCTGAAAACACAAAGCAAGACACGGCAGTCATCAAGCGGACGCATACAACTGTCGTTACGGTCTTGATACTGCAAGGGCTTAACAATCGACTGTAGTCAAGTGGACCATGTCAAAATGTTGGGTTGCTTTGCATCACCAATCCTGTGAGGAAAACGGACCAATCCAAACCTGAAAAAAATGTATGCATCATGGGTTTGACGCAACATTGTGGGTTTGGTTTTGAAACCCCAATAAATGGGTTTAGTTATTGACATTAGGCTGACAAAACAGATCTGAAAGGAAAAGGACAGCCTGCGTTACTATGCAAGACTTATTTGGGTGACACTCAATATTTGTTTCCTTTCAACCATTCATTTTGTAATTAATTCTTGTAAGGCTGCTTTGCGTCATCGTCACCGGTCAACAGATAAGAGGCAGAGTACAACCTGGACAGCTCGACAATCTGCAAGATAAATAATATTCACACACACACACCTTATAACATTTTTGCCTGTTTTTACTGAAAGAGTATTGAATCCACAGAACCTTCTCACTGTGAGGCAGATGGGGCTAAAAATGACCACAAATACAATATGTTTTTGTTTTTTATTATAACTGCAGTTAAAGTTATGAAATGTAAAGAAAAAAAAAACAACCTCCCAATGTTTAAGAAGACTTACATTTAGATGAAAAAAAATTAATACTTTTGGATGTTGGTACTCAAAAGTCAGAATTTTAGAAATTTCCAAATTTGGAAGAAATTAGGTCAAGGTTGTAAAACTTAAAGAGATTAATGAATGTACAGAATATGGTGAAATATATCAGTAGTTTGCCTCGTCATCACTGGGAACGAGCAGTCACGTTTCGCTTTTAGGCTCGTTCAGACTCACGTCAGTTCAGATCCGACTTCTGATGAATCACTTGGTAGATTTATTATACAGAGAAGAGAAGGTTTCTTAAAATAAATGAAATGTTTTCTTTTACGTACTTGTCCAGTAGACTAAACTTTTGGAGAGAAAAAAAAAAATCTCAGTTTGGGATAACTCTGAAAATCTGCATTGTTACAGTTTCTACTGAGTGAATGAAAAGTTTCTTTTCTGGAAGAATAAGAAAACGTGAACCACAGGACCCCACCAGCCAGTCCATCCCTGCTCCTGTCGGAGGGAGGGATGGAGTGCTGTCACTGGCACCTTAGTAAATGCTAACTTATGAACAAGACAAACTGAACCAGATGGCCCCACTCCCGTCGGCTCCAGCATGCATTAATGAAGACCCTGCGGCTGGCGGAGCTACCGAGCACACACGCATTGCCCTGCACGGTTCTGTGTGTTTGTGGACCTCTGCCGACTAACTCTGACATCCTGTTGCAAATTGCTTCCTGTTGACGTTGGTGTCCTGCTCTTCTGCCTGAATTTTGCTTCTCCGTGGTCTCCTCTAAGGTTCACTTTTTTTTTTTTTTTTTTTACTACATGTGTATCTGTGTGTTTACGTTTGGATTTTTACATGGGTACATTTGTTTGTTTTGTCTGTCTCCCTGCTGTTCCTTCCTGGACTCAATTTATTCTGTTAATTACCATTATTAAACCTGTCGAATTATCCCCCATGGCTTGATCACAGTGTTTATTCATTTGGGTTCATGTGGATGATCTGCCCACATCTGTGCCTAGAGACATGAATGTATTAAAGTTTGAAGTTTTTGGTTTATGTTGTACAACAATCAGTACATAAACAAGTATAACAACTGTTATAAATATTTCTTAAATTTACTGGACGAAATACCACAGAGTCCTCCTCCGTCCTCACACCACCCCTCGTTGCTGTGTACAGTTCTAGTGGCAGCGTGAAGAAATTCCTGCCTTGTTTTCAATATTTATGCCACTTGTCCAAATTTTAACAGATGGATGATGGTAGTTTCTTTGCCTTTATCCACTTGGTATTGCTAGAATTTTAACTTTCTGGGGCGCTGCAAGACAATACCGCCTACACTACTCACACAAGTAGCCTGAACCATTGACACAGGACAGGATGGATCCACGTGCCCACATCGTTGTTTACACCAAATTCTGCCGTGCCATCTGAAATACTGCAGCTCTGGTCTCATTTTTTATGTTTTTTTTTTATTGTAGCCTCATTCTGTATCCGACACACTTTGGTTGTATTTTGCCCTCCTTTTCTGCCCGGACTTCTCTGACTTCTGATATCAACAAGGCATTTTTACCCACACAACTGCAGCTCATTTTCTGTTTTCTGTTCTTGGTCCGTTCTCTGTAAACCGAATGCACTGAACCTGTTGTAGCTTCTGAAATACTCAAGCTGGCTGTGAAACCGTGCCACTTTCAAGGTCACTTGAATCCCCTTGTCTTCCATTATATTGCTTGGGAATCTTCACCTTCACCTTTACTAAATTTATTCAGTTGATGCCACGTGATTGGTTCTTTTGTTCTACTGTTTCTTCTATCAATCAATTAAACCAGTGTACCTAATAAAATGCAGAGTATATATTTTAAAAAGGGGGGATGTTAGCCTACTTTATTACAACTAATCAGGTTACATAATAAAGTCTTGCAATGTCCAATGGGAATTCTCCTTTTTATAAACATTTTCTTCTGTTGCTGTAGTTGTAAATCTCCGCTGTTGTCAAGAACTTGACACCTGTCAGTGTTTGCCACCATTTAACCCTGCCTGTCTGGCTTCCCTGAGATACCGCTGAGTTCGGCTCAGCTGTTCGTTTAATTGTTCAAGAGGTCAAAAGTTTATAAGCTGATCTGGCGTCACATTTTCTGAGCCGAGCAGAAATCGCAAATTTTATATTCTAAATACTTTAGCAGTGGCGTGTGGGTTTACACCAGTTAGTCGAGATCTCAGTATGACCAGTTCAGAATAAAAGAGGCAGCAATGTGGAGATTTTTTGGTGGCGTTATTGTGTCCTTTTCAAAGGGCCTCAGAGTCTCCGTGTGTGTTTTTGATTGTGTGTTTTGCCTTATGTTCTAGTTATTGTTGAGTCATCAGAAGCGTAGAAGGACTGCACAACACATGTGCAGACTTTCCGCAGCAGTGAATCCCTACACCGTCTTTTCATAGGATAAATAAAAAGATATAAACATTTATATTAAACTTTTGATGTGTTTTCCAATCTCTATCCATCATTCTTTATGCCAAACCGTACAAAGTTAAGAGAAAAGGGTAACTGAAGTCTCTGAAAATGTTTTCAGCTGCTTCTCGGAGTGGATCAACATCTTTATGTATTGATAAGTTTATTTCTTAATTGACGGTTTCTCACAATTTTTCTCTTTTTTTTTTTTCTTCTTTTTTTTTTTTTGTCGTGAGAGATTTCAATATTTATGCCAAAACTTCTTCCAGCCATCTGCTGGAGATGACAGCAGAGGAATAAATTTTACTACCCTCCTCATCAGCATTATGTCCTTCCTTCTCGTTCCACAGTTGTTCTCCATTCCTTACTCGCTGCTGGAGTGGAGCCAGGCGCGTTAAATCAAACAAATGACGAGATAACGAGCTAATTTATTCCCAGTCTGCGGGAATGGGTGCATTTGTTTACTCCTGCAGAATCTAACCATATGCTTCCTTTCCTCTCAGGTCCCCACCGCCTGCATCCCCGTGCCAGATCTGGTATGTTTGTGCAAATTTGAATATTTCATTGTGCTTCGTCGTGTTTCATTGCAGAGAGTGTACCGCTCTTTTCTGTCTTCTTTCTCAGCACAGCTCCACAAAGTCAGTGTCACAGAAGAAGAAGGGCTCCTTACCAAGGTAGCAAAAAAACTTAGAAGCCCCTTGACATGCAGAGGGACCAGTCTGGGTATTTTTATATTTATGAAAGCAGATGTGCAGAGGCCCTCACAAGGGTACACACAGCTTTGATTAAAACATATTCATACTTTTTTCTACTTTGACATTATCCAGTGCAATTCCACTTATTTGGATTTGTGGACTCTTTAGCCCGGACAAGTAGAGAACGCAGGAGATTTTTTTTTTGTCGCTTGAGGAACACAAGCTGCACTCGTTGGCGGTTCTTGCTGCTCTCTCAGCGTTGCTTTCCCTTTCCAGGTTCAGCCTTGTCTTTTCCTCGAGTTTAGAAAAATGTCTGGTTTGAACAATGTTAGAACTTAAATGTCATCGATTTGGTGCCGTTGTCTGTTTCTGACGCCCTCAAAGAGTGGATTCTCAATCTTTTCCAGGAGGAAAAGCGTTGAACAGGTGATGGAACATGTGATGGAGGGGCACTACGACTTCGACCTCACTTACATCACAGAGAGAATCATCTCTGTCTTCTTCGTACCAGACCTGGAGGAACAGAGGTACCGGCAAAACCTGCAGGAGGTGTCATCCATGCTCAAATCTAAGCACCAGGACAAGTTTCTGGTTAGTTTAATCTACTGACAGAAATAAGGAAAGAGCTAACCCCTGACCAGTTACTGATATTTGTACATGCTTCTGGCTTCATCCAGCTTCTGAATTTATCAGAAAAGAGACATGACATCACCAGACTTAACCCCAAGGTAAGAGTGTTTCCTCCTGAATTTGGTGCTAGGTGCTATTTAAGCAATAAAGGTTCTTGCAGAAGTTTACATACCCTCTGAACTTGATCGCATTCTGTTTTGTGAAGACACAAGAAATGTATTTCATTAGGATCTGATGTGAAAACAGAGCAGTGGACATTTGTGCGGTTGAAGGAAATTCATGAATGAATTGTTTCAAGGCAGAGGACACTAATCAGAAAAGTAGAAAAGAGGCCGATGGCAAATGCATGGGACACTAACACCCTGAACACACTGAGATTACTTTGAGGGATAACAACACCTTGCGTCATACTTTTTATTTGATTTATGTTACCCTATGAGCTGGCCACACTTGGTTTTGCATCAGTAAAAATATATATAATAAATCTGAACATCAATCCTCCTCTGATGCCCAGGTGCATGACTATGCTTGGCCTGATCTGCACGCCCCTCCGCTGGACAGGATTTGTGCCATTTGCAAGGCCATGGAGACGTGGCTGACCTCTGACCCTCACAACGTCGTGGTTCTCCATTGCAAAGTTGGTGCAGCTCAAAGACCCTTTGGCTAATTTGTTGTGTGAAAGATGTGAGAGAGTGAATGATCTAATTTGCAGCTCTCCTTTGTCTTTGCTCTCACAGGGAAACAAAGGAAAAACAGGGGTGATAGTGGCGGCTTACATGCACTACAGCAAGTTCTCAGCTGGGTAATGTGCAATATTATAAGCTACTGAGACACATAATTAAAGCAATCTCCAGTTTTTGTAAAGCTTTGACCTGCTAGCACTGCTTTTATCCAGTTTAGATTTGCCAATACGGTAAGAAGGCATAAGAGCAGCATTTAAAATATTTCTCTAGATTTCTCTCCATAGTGGTCATAAATATTAATATTAGGACCAGAGGTGATATAACACTGTGTATGTAAGACACAGTTTACTCTGAAACAGGATTTTAAAAGTAAAAGATAAATTAACTAAAGAGTTTCACTTTTTAAACTGTCTTTATCATCGTTACTGGTCTTGACATTTGGACAGTTAGCATGGAGAGCATAATGTAGATGCTCACCTTCAATCTCCACTCTCTTTTAATCGTCACACCTTACCGACACTGTTTTTTTTGTTTTTTTTTGCATGTTTCCCTCTATTTAAACCAGCTGTTTTTCTTGTGCCCTCAGAGCAGACCAGGCTCTCACGACGTTGGCCATGAGGAAGTTCTGCGAAGACAAAGTCTCTTCCTCCCTGCAGCCCTCTCAGAGCAGGTCTGACATTCACCGTTCGCCGCAGATTACGTCGCCTTCCTAATCACATTCTCGCTCTCGCCTCACGTCGTTTCCTCTCTTTAACAGGTACATCTACTATTTCAGCAGCTTGCTGTCGGGTTCCATCAAAATGAACAGCAGTCCTCTGTTCCTTCATCAGATCCTTGTTCCCTCATTACCAAACTTCCAGTCAGGAGGAGGTCAGCTTCTGCTCTGCGGTGGTTTTGTAGTGATTATAAGGATGGAACAATAAATAAACGGTGTTTTTAAGTTTTACATGTAAAACAAAGTGAAGCCTTACCCAGCAATTTTTTTTTTTTTCCCCCACAACTTTTCTTGCAGGTTTTTATCCTTTTCTGAAAATCTACCAGTCCTTACAGCTGGCTTACACCTCCGGTGTCTAGTAAGTATTTTTGATGAATATGTTTTCCGTCCCTCAGTCCCCTTGACAGGTGCTCACTCTGCATGTTACCGTCTGTGTTTAAGTGTAGCCTGGTCGGTGCTTACATTAAAGAAAGTAGTGGTTACCTGTGTTTTATCCCACTGAAACATGTTGTTTTATGTATGTTTTAACCAAATGTACCTTTTTTTTTTATCTTTTCACATGCTCACAGTGATCCTCAGAGCTCTAGAGCAAGAAAACTGTGTATGACCATGGAGCCAGCTCTACTATTAAAGGGTGACATTATGGTAAGTTTGTCATTTTTTTTACTGATCCCAAAACTTTAGTTTGATTTAAATCCCATTTGTAATCACATGTAGGTACGATGCTTTACAAAAAGTAGGAGTACCTCGTGAGCTTTCCCATATTTTGTAATGTTACAGAGGCAAGCTTCAGTTTGTCCCATTTGGGATTTTATGAGGCAGAACAACACAAATTAGTGCATGTTAGTGAAGTGGAAAGAAAGTTATAGATTGTTTTCAAACGCTTCAACAATTAAAAATGTGAAAACGTGTTTTGTATTACATTTATATTCGACCACCATTTACTCTCTGAGCTCTAAATAAAATTATGTTTGATCTAAGAAAAGTAATTGGATTACTAAACAGAGTTCGTCTAAGAAGTTGATCTGGTCGGATGAGACCAAGATGTTACTTTTTGGCCTTCCTTCTCAACACTATGTGTGGTGATCGGTAATACCGCAAATAACAATGCACATCCCTGAACACACCCCATCCATGCACAGTGGGTGGTAGACACGCAGTGCTAGATGTGACCTGAACACAGGACACATCTAGAATCCTGCAGCATGTCTCACATTACAGCAGCAGGCCCTGAGCCGCCGTAAACGATAAGAATACCTAACTTATACTCACATAGTTTAAATTTGAGATGTTCCGCCTGAAACGATCCTCAATGTCTGCTCCCCTGCCTTGTTAGGTGAAGTGCTACCACCGACGGAGCCGAGCGGCTGAGAGGGAGGTCGTGTTCAGAGTCCAGTTCCACACCTGCACAGTTCACGGAGCACAGCTGTGGTTTGGAAAGACGGAACTAGACCTGGCCTGCACCGGTACAAGACGTGCATCCCCAGAGTGTGCTAAGAATATTCAGCGTCTCTGCAATGCTAAAATGTTTTGATACATGTTACGAATGAACAACTAGCAGTCCTGTTGTGCATTTGTGTTGCTGACTTGACGACATGAATCGAGAGCCACTTTCTCCTCTGACCATTGTAGTGTCAGAGTGTGCCCTAAAGCAAATAGCAAACAATGACGTCGGCTTAGATCAGTGTTTTTCAACCACTGTTCCGCGGCACACTAGTG